ATCATTCAAAACACAGTTGAAAATATTTCTAACCTTCAGAAATATACATGGATTGGACCTTCAAGCAGAGAAAAAATGATATGATTGGCTGACCCGATGACCTGTTGTATAATCATCCAATCACAGACCAATTAAACATCTTAGAATCTGGGATCAAACTGGGCACAGATTCAGAAACACTTGATGAACCTTAAACATCATCATCATGCATGAAGTTCATTCATATTTCAACCGGATATCTCAATGGCAGACGTGTCTTCAGCTCTGACATCATCGCAGGGGTTTTGGGTAATGAGATGCTAATCAAATGAAGGCATCAATCAAAAGCGTGACTTTGACAAATTGCACAATTCGCCGTGAAGTGGAATAAATGGGAATTAACGTTAATTGATTTTTCAGGCTCGGGGTTTGTAATGTTTGCGCGTCACACGGACAACCTTGGCGTGTCTTTGAGACTGTTGACTCTAAATATTAAACAAAAGCACAAATTCTACTAAAAGCAGCATTTTACCAATCATAAAATGTATCTTCAGATAAATTAACAGGGCAATGGGGCAAAAATGCCACCAATATGAATAAAAATGCTTCCAAAAACCAAGATATGCTGATAGACAAGTTCTTGTTTACGTTACGCAATATCACAAGAGTTCCCGAATATCAGCACGTTTGGAAATGTGATATTGATTTTATATAACAATTCAATAAACAACAAGTTAACAGGATATTAGGTGACTTACATTTTATACCCAATATTGTCCATTTCGCGTCTCCGAGCAAAACAGTTTAGTTACTGACCGAATCCGTGTTTGTGAATGATTCGGTTTAATGAGTGACTCGCGACTCACTCAGTCACTTCAGCCTTGTCCCTGAATGAATCATCCGTTTTGAATGAATCGTTTGTCTGAATGATTCAATGGTTAATTCGTTGAAGCAGTGATTTGCCCGCCATCTACTGGCCGGTTTCATTTTAGCTGAGGGACTGAAGGACGAAAATTGAAGGCTGTTTTTGTTTTCAGTTGTGAATGTAACAACAACAGTTTGTGGTTGAAGAGATAGAGTACTTTTATAAAAATAAAAAAAAAGACTATAAAGAGCGAAATATAACATTGTTTCTCTGAATGTTTCTTTCAAACGGGCAGGTCTGAATCTGAACATTTCTGATGTTGACAGTGATGTTGTGAAATATTACAATATAAAATAACTGTTTTTTTATTTAAAATGTAAAAATTCCTACTATAAAATCAGCATATTATACTGATTGCCATGTCACCTTTATTTATAGCAGTTTTTACAATACATGTTGTATTGTTGAATATAAAATGTTCCCAACTAAGCAAAAAAGCCTGAAGTCTGGAGGAATGATGCTGCAAATTCAGCTTTGATCACAGGAGTAAACTACATTTTAAATTGTTATAATATTTCACAGTATTACTGGTTTTACTGTATTTTTGATTTTATAAATGCAGCCTTGGTGAATATAAGACACTTGCTTTCAAAAATTATATATTAAAAAAACATCTTAATTATTTCGAACGTTTAATTGTGATTTTAAACGTCTTGATCTTCCTGAAATCTATTTTATATAATCCTGAGACTGTGCCAGTGTGTTGCTGTGAGAGTTGTGGACGTGAGTGTTGAGTCTCAGAGACCGACAGCAAGAGAGCGAAGGACAAAGATGCAGTTGTTCCCTCCATTCATTCAACATCATCACATGTGTGTGTGTGTGTGTGTGTGAGAGAGAGAGAGAGAGACTGAGATGTCTCTGTTCTGGGTCCCTGATCTCTAGAACTGGCCAATAAGATACTTTAAGCTTGTTCTGATTAAAAATACAGAGTAAACAGAGGAATTAAAATCGAATCTAAAGCAGTTAAATGATTGTTTTGAATGAAATAACAGCATTTAATTCGTCTGATCATAAACATCACAGTGATGCTTTACAAAATACACTGAATATCACAAAATTTTCTAACAAAAACATGGTCATATTTTACATAAAAATAAAAGAAAAGAAATAAGTACCTATAGAGAGCCTTATTTATTTTCATGACAATTTATCACATTTAACCCCTCCCCCCTAATATATATAATTTTATATAATAGTAATTTTTTTAACATGTTTTATATTTTTTTATTTTTTTTATTTATTATTTTTATAATAATATATAAATAATTTATATATATATTTATTTATGTATTTATATTAAAATGATATTTTTCTGTTATTTTTAAATACAAATATATATATATATATATATATATATATATATAATTATTATTAATTATGTTTTGCGATGTGAATTATCCTACTGTTTTACAATTATGAGAATCTAGTGAGAATTATTAAAAATATAGGGAAACATAGGGGGAAAACATGTTTTGATTTTGGTGCGACATGTGACGTGGACATAAATCCTTATACTTTTTTCTAGATTCTAAAACTGTTTCTAGTCTGTTGAAATAAATTGTTAAACATAAGCACTAAAATCCAACTTTTCACATCTTCTTTTGTAAAGTCACTTTGGAGGAAAGCATTTGCTAAATGCATAAGTGTAAATGTGAATGTAAACAAGCGTATTCAGCTTCTCATAATCAAACTGTATTCCTGAATGAAACGTGTGTTTGCTGCTCAGCCTCAGGGTCAGTCGGAGGGTCTCTGAGCAGAAAGCAGATCAGCCCGGCGTGTTTAACATGCTTAACAGGGACGGTTTCTCAGTATTACCCTGCGACTGGGTTTATAACCCAAAGGCTGAGAGGACTAATTGAAACACTAACCATAGGGAGCAGATTAAAGGTTTGCAGAGAAAAAAAAAAGATTAGATTCGACCTCAGACCATGAGAAATTATTATACTGCGGATTAAACGCACACAGAACATTATTAAAGGCTCCAAAGAAACATAATCAGCCACCTCTGGTATATACCAATCCACGATTCTCAATTGTAACTACAAACACACTACACATCACGAAATCTTTACAACTCTGAGGTCAACCGTCCTGCTGAGTTTTGCCCCAAATCAGATGAAGCTCACCTGTCTGTAGCTTTCTAGTAACCCCGTCCCAAATCACCCCCTTTACCCCTTCAAAGGGAATCATTTGAGGGGACATCCATTAGTGGTGCCCGAAACCACAGTGGATTATCTAGTACACTTAACGTGTACTTTTGCTGATAATTTACTCCCCCCCCATGTCATCCAAGATATCAATGTCTGAAATTAAGGTTTTTGATGAAAACATTCCAGGATTTTTCTCCATAATGGACTTCAATGGGAACCAAACAGTTCAAGGTGCAAAAGACACTTTCAGTGCAAAGTGTTCAAAGGGCTTTAAACGATTCCAGACGATGAATAAGGGTCTTATCAAGCAAAACAATCGCTTAGTTAATAAAAAAATAACAAAGTTTAAGTTTTTATAACCTCAAATGCTCGCCTTGCTCTGTATAGTGATGCACTCTCCTGTTCGAACTCGTTCATCAAAATGAACAAATCTTTTTCTGAGTAATTTGGTTCATTCAACGAACAAAATGAACGAATTTACTCAGAAAAAGATTTGTTCATTTTGATGAACGAGTTCGAACAGGAGAGTCACGAACACGCATCACAGAACAGAGCAAGGCAACCATTTGAGCTTATAAAACTTAAACTTTGTTATTTATTTAATAAATGAGCGATCGTTTCGTTTGATAAGACCCTTATTCATCGTCTGGAATCAGTTAAAGCCCTTTGAACAGTTTGCAATGAAACTGTCTTTTGGAACTTGAACCGTTTGGTTCCCATTGAAGTCCATTATATGGAGAAAAATCCTGGAATGTTTTCATCAAAAACCTTAATTTCTTTTCGACTGAAGAAAGAAAGACATGGACATCTTGGATGACATGGGGGTGAGTAAATTATCAGCAAAAGTTTTTTTTTTTTTTTTGAACTACTCCTTTAACATTGATTATGCATTACCAAACTTACAACTTTCATACACTGGACTGCATTATCAGAAACATCAGGGTTACTGGTCAATAAAAAATAACAACAGATCATAAGAAGCTGTTCGATAGTAGATTAACCTGCATTTTAAGATATCTGTCCAGACCCCCCTCTTCTCTCTCTCTCTCTCTCTCTCTCTCTCTCTCTCTCTCTCTCTCATAAAACAATAGGATTAGATGGAATGCTCTGAAAAGTCCAATGAAAATACTGCAGCTGGAAGCATCACCTCATACATGCATAATTCAGAGGTACACAAATGAATGACTCAGGTTGAGAATTTATGGATGATATTCTGTCATCTAGATTGTTCAAATTGTGCTTTTAGAAAATTATAGAAAAAAAAACTTGTGTGTGTGTGTGTGATAAGACTGCTGCATTAGATTCCATGTGATTCGTGTGATTCTGCTGCATTAGATTACAAAAAATAAATAAATAAAAATGTGTCAATGACATATTCTACCTCGTATGCTATGTCCATTGACATTTATCACCGCAGGATTGTTAAAAATTATTTTCAAATAAGAAAAATCATATGTGATGACCAAAATTTAGGTTGCGTCGGGTCAGGGGCCACTCTGGAACTAGAAGCTTGCAGTGAAAATAAAGTTATAAAGTTATAAAAATGGTTATTTTCTTACAAAAATGCGCCACTTTGCCTCAGAAGGTCTTTATTACCCCCCTGAAGTCGTTTGGGTACTTTTATGATGGATGGATGCACTTTTATGGGCTTGAAAAACTAAAGATTCACTCCTATTATATAGTTTAAGAAGAGCAGAATATCTGATTGTGTCTGAAAGAATAAAGTTATAAACCTATGGCTTGAGGAGGGTGAGGTTATGGGATCATTTTTGGGTGAACTAACCCTTTAAGTGACAAATAAATACTTTCATATGAATAAATAAGGGACCACTTTTCTCCCATAGAAGCACTGAAATGGCCAAAATGAAACAAACAAACATAATAGTCCAGAAATGTAAAATCCACACATAGCCTAGCCGTTATTAATGAAGGGCTTTGATACTCACCGATCCTCAAGACCTGCTGCGCGCTGAAACTGACCTCTGCCATCAGACACAGCAGGACGAAGCTCACACCTGTCCCCTTCAGCATGGGACACCTGCAGGAGACACACTCAACATGCATATCCTTCTTCTTTGTGTATCCATACAGGAATGATTTCCATCCGAGCAGCATCTTTCCACTCACTCGTACTGGTGGGAATCACCCATCCTCACATCCATAGGTGCTAACTGGGCATCACTTTCTAGAATAAGCGGTGCTTCCCTTCCCGCGGTGCTTTCAGGACATAGTGGTGTTTCTGACAGGGACCGCGCGACTCCCAGTCCGTGCGCGCGAGCTCAATTGAGGGCACTGGCGACTCTCTGATCCGCAAACATGGATCCGTTGTGAAGATTAACTTCAAATCTGGTAGCGGTCGACCTCGATAACGTCTTTGCTCTTTGGTACACCGAGGAAATGATTAAATCTTGTGCCGGCGCTCTGATGGAAACGCACATCTGCCAGCAGATTAAATACCCGTTTATCTGTCACTCGCTGTCTGTGATTTCGCCAAAGGGGAAGACACCTTATTTAACAGCGGTTAACCCACTTTTAATAATATAGGCTAAAGTTTTTTTTTTTTTTAACCAATCGCATTATATAAAAATTCAACTAAAACGACCATGGTCAGAAGTGATACGCAGCTGTGGGAAGTTTGCGTGTTGTGGTGGAGATTTGATTCATTCAATGATTCAAATCTTGAACAAGCTCAGTTAAAAAAAAAGATTCGATCGGATTGATCAGTGGTTGATTTCGGAATAGCAAACTACTCTTTCCATTTCTGCTTATTAAAAATATGGCTGTGTAATTTCGGTTGTACGGAGCCCCGGGACATGGTGAAGAGGAAAAAAATGAGACTATAAAATTAAAAATTATTTGGCGATGCGTTTGTTTGCAAAAGGTTCGCTTTCCCCTGAAAAACTTTGCATTCACTCGCAAAGAACACAAGCAAACGTTTCTCAGGGGAACACAAACATTTTGCAAGCGACTGCAAATTTTCTCTGGGGAACGCAAACATTTTGCAAGGGAATTTTGCGAAAAAACAAACAAAAATAACGACTTTATTCGACTATTCCTTTTCTTCCTTGTAGGCCTGAGACAAGTTTTTTTGTTTTTTTTTGTTTGTTTGTTTTTTCACACAAAAAGTATTCTCGTCGCTTGATAAACTTATACTTGAGCCACTGTAGTCACATGGAATATTTAAACATTTTCTTTAATGACTTTCTGGGCCGTCAAGTTTCAATCCCTTAGGACTAGGAGCCTATGCAGTGAATGAGCCACCTCTCAAATTTAATCAAAAATATCTTCATTTGTATTCCGAAGACGAACAAATGTCTTACGGGATTGGTAAAGCATGGGGGTGAGTAATTAATGACTTAATTTTCACTTTTGGGTGAACTATCCCTTTAATGGCGTTCATTGATTCAAGTAATTCAAGTGATTGGGTATAAAGCGTTTTAATTCTAGAATATATGGTGTAAAAACGTCTGAGTGCTGCCCTCTTCAGATTGAACAGTGCTATTGCAGTTGAAATTTCCCATTGAAAGTTGTGGTGCCCTGTGATGTAAGAGGGTACCAGCTCACAGCCCTTGCTTACAGAGAGAGAGAACCCCCCTGAACCCTTCCTTAATATCTGCAAACATATAATCGCATTTTATGCTATACTACAGTTAAAAAAAAAAAAAAACTTTATTATCGTTAAAGCAGGATGGATTCTGATTGGCTGTCAATGTTTGTATTGTTCATCAGCTGAAAAAAAAAAACTTTTTGAAAGTGATTCCTCCGCTCTGGATCTGGTTTAAGAGGCGATTGCTACCCATATCCTTTAGGTCTTTGTGACAGTGGGTTTATACGGCATTATAGGGATTAGAGAGACAGGATCTGGATCACAGATCATTTAGAGAGGGAGGATCGCCTACAGTTCAGCCCCTGTAAACAGAGCCAGATAAAGCATGACGCTGGTTAATGCATTTACAGGATGATTTACTCTAGAGGTGTTTACTTTGACAACACACTCGACTATAAATTGTAATACATTTCCGTTGTAATTGTTTGTGTATTTCTTTATGGTGTAACAAAGGGAAGAAATCTCTGTAAGCGGTTTTGACAGCTTACAGACAACAAAACAACAAAAAAATAGATGAAATCCCCATAAGCTACACTTGTATAGACCATTTCACAAGATGTAAACAAGACTGGTCCGGAAACACTTCCTGTTTCAGTTTGTAACTGTTTTCTTTATTTCACATGTAAAGAAAACATCTTAAAGATGTTTGTTTAACTTTTTAAAAAGTTTTAAATGTTCTGTTGGTTGTATTTTATCCCAGCTTTTATGTAGTGTTAAAAAACAGAAACAGGAAGTGCCTCTGGACCAGTGTTGTTTACATCTTGTGAAATGGTCTATAGGCCTATGGTAAGAGTGATAAGGCCATCTACTGGTTAATCAACATGTCGATGAAAGGTCGAGGCAAGTTATCACACTTTGAAAGTCAATAACAGCCTACTACAGGATTGAAAGGTGAACAAACACACACACAAAAAAAATAATTGTCAAACCACTACATTCAAGATAACTGAACTGAGACAGACTCTGACAACTAGCCAAATTTCCTATTTAATACATATTCTCTGTCACAAGTAAGAAAACTGCAGACACTAATAATTTACAAGTGGTAATGCAGTACAGTATGATATTAGCCCCCTGTCTGCTGAAAAGAGAGAACCATGGGATATTCGCATGAATATCTCTTCAAATATTGTCATATTCTACGCTCCAGGACAAACTCACAGCTGTTTATTTAGAGAATAACACATTCTTTTAACTGCCAGCAAATATCATCCCACAGGGCTAAAACCGGTTTGATGTGCTGTGTGCTGATTCAGTGTTTGCTGTCCATATGCCTCAATGAGAAACAAAGGTTGTGTATAAGGACTGGATTGAGAACAGCTCTCACAAACAGAACTTACAGCTTTAAAATGTGCATTCATTGACAGTTTTCCATCCGTTAGCGTTCACACTCGAGGGCAGTTGCTCATCTGGTGCGGGTCATCCTGTACTACCTGCATTCTGACATTATCTCATGGGACAAAGACTCTGGAGCTGCAGGAAAATGACACCAGGACAGTCTTAACCTTCAGTAGCTTCTGTTCTCAAAGCCCTAGGGGATAAAAAAGGGCACTAGCAAAATTATAGTTCACCCAAAAAGTTTATTTCTTTTGTTGAACACAGAAGAAGATAGTTGGAAGAATGTTACGGAGGCGTATTGCATTCACTTGAAGAAAAAAAATCTACTCTGTTTTTCTGAATTAACGAGTTAATTTTTCATGAGAAAAAAAAGCTCTGTTTTTCTGAATTAATGAGTTAATTTTTCATGAGAAATTTTTTTTGCTCTGTTTTTCTGAATTAACGAGTTAATTTTTCATGAGAAATTTTTTTTCCCTCTTTTTTTCTGAATTAATGAGTTAATTTTTCAATGAGAAAAAGTTTTTGCTCTGTTTTTCTGAATTAATTTTAATTTTTCATGAGAAAAAAATTGCTCTGTTTTTCTGAATTAATGAGTTAATTTTTCATGAGAAAAAAAGTTTTTGCTGTTTTTCTGAATTAATGAGTTAATTTTTCATGAGAAAAAAATTTGCTCTGTTTTTCTGAATTAATGAGTTAGTTTTTCTGAGAAAAAAAAGTTTTTGCTCTGTTTTTCTGAATTAATGAGTTAATTTTTCATGAGAAAATTTTTTTTGCTGTTTTTCTGAATTAACTCATTAATTCAGAAAAACAGAGCAAAAAAATTCCATTAAAAATTAACTCATTAATTCAGAAAAACAGAGCAAATTTTGTTTTTCTCATGAAAAATTAACTCATTAATTCAGATAATCAGAGCAAAAAAAAATTTTCTCATGAAAAATTAACTCGTTAATTCAGAAAAACAGAGCAATTTTTTTTTCTCATGAAAAATTAACTCGTTAATTCAGAAAAACAGAGTAGATTTTTTTTCTTCAAGTGAATGCAATACGCCTCCGTAGAATGTTGTTAACCATTTTTTTTTCATACTATGAAAGACAAAAGGAACTGATTCTTCTTTTGTGTTCAACTGAACAAAGAAACTCATAGAGGAGAACGACTCAGGTGAGTAAATGATGACAGAATTAGCATGTTTGGGTTATCTCTTTAATAAAGCTAAATATTAGTGAATTATACTGTATGTTGCATGCATTGCATAAATATTTTTTGGAGTTTTCGTGAAAAACCTGGATATGAGGGCATTTTAAAAGTGTGATCCCTGTCAATCCCACAACCATCCAATCAATTCTCCATAGACAAAATCAAGTCCCGCCCTACATTTCTTCTTGTTTGAGAAGCAATTTCACTCAGATGAATGTCACAATAGGCAAGAAAAGACGATCGCAACCTTAGTTTCATGCTGACTTTGCCACTTTTAGTTTCTGTAAATAAAAATGTTTGACAAATCATTGTCGTACCGGCAGAAGAATATTCTGAAAAATTAGATTTTTTTAATTATTACTATTTAAAGCTACACTGTGTGGCTCTTATTCTTATTCTTAGCTAAAAACACACTTAGTTCTTTCAAAAATATATGTGCTCATTAATGTATATTCGTTCAAGTAATAAAGTATTCTCGTGAGTGTATAATATGCCATTACATAAGGCAAGGGGTTCTAATGTTGGTCGCCATGTTGCCCCTCCATCTTGAAAGTACATTAGCCAAAGAGGGACATACCCGCTAATTCAAGCTTCGCCTTTCACGTTTATGTTTAGACGTTATGGACGAGGTCGAACTGGAAGCCATGTTAATCTTGGACTACATTGGCCACCGTAGGAGTTAAAACGAAATCGTAATTGAGAGGAACAGAAAGTATTCACTGGATCGTCATAAACCTTTTCACCGCTAGATGGGGGTAAAAATCACACAGTGTAGCTTTAAAAATTAATGTAAAAATAGGGCTGCAACTTAGATACGCAATCCAAAGCTACTGTCTGAGCTGTTGGACTGCACCCTGGAGTAGTTGTACCCTATGTAGAGCGGGGTCTGCTTAACGGGGTGAAATGCGGATCCGGAGGTGAAGGACGCGTAGGGATCGCTGCCGTTAAGGCGTGCAGAAGCGTACAGCGTGTTTTTGGAAACATACTGGCTTTGCATCACATTTGGGCCATAATAGTCCAGGTTTTGAGGTGGCATGATGTTTTGACTGAACACTAAAGACCCAGTGGTCACCGGTTGCACACTGCAAGGTGAATGTTGGCCACTAGAAGGCGCAATGGCGTAGCTGAACGCAGAAGGCTGCAGAATGGAGAGGCTGTTTGAGTTAAAGGCCCTTACAGCGGGTTTATTAACTTGTCGGTTTGAATAAATTGACGAGCCTGGTTTTGGACCAACACGACGACAGAGAAATATAACTCCAGACGCCATTAGAAAAGCACTAGTTACCCAACCGATATACAGCGCCTCTCCTAGTTCCCTGCGCTGCGCGTCCACAAGTAGAGGATTGTAGAAGTCTCTAATAATAGCGTGAGCCGTCCAAGAGACCGGGATGATAACGCAAACGGATGCTAAAATCTGCATCGCCCCCGAGGCAATCGCAAACGCGCTTTTGACACGCGGTTGATCCTTGAGACACGACGTGCAACGGAGGCCGAAAAGAGACGCGAGCAGCCCGAGTGCAGACAGAGCCAGTGCGCTACACGTCAAGCCCCGGGCCGCCTGCAGGTCCGGCGGGAGGAACAGCAGAGAGTCGTACGCTTTGCACTGCATGTGGATGTTGGCCTGTCTGAAGCACGTCGTCCACAGACCCTCCCAGCGGGTCTCCATCACGATGATGTTCTCCCCGATGAACGCCGTCACTTTCCACATGGGGAGGCCCGTGACGGCCACCGTCCCGATCAGACCGATGATGCCCAGGCACAGAGCGATGAGGTCACACTTGCCCTGAACCATCATTGACCTCTGCCTCACACGCTTTTGTCTATTTCATTGGTTTTCCTAAAAGTAGCTAGAGAAACAAAAAGCATATCAGAATGATTTATGAAAGATTATGTGACACTGAAGACTGGAGTAATGATGTTGAAAATTCAGCTTTGATCGCAGGAATAAATTAGCTAGAAAACAGGCAAATGCTAGTGTCTATCATGATTGGATCATTATTTCTGTGATCATTATGTGTCTTGGTAAATGTTTGGCAACAGTTCTTCTAACTTACACCCACATACATTTTGTAAACACAAACCTTTATTTTGAACGCGATTAATCACGATTAATCGTTTGACAGCCCCTAGAAAGATGAAGTTGGGTTTAAATTTGAAATTACATTTTTAACCCAACATTTGGGTTTGTCCATATTTTTCCCACACATTTGGCTACAAACAACCCAGCATTGGGGTAGGATTTGGATCTGGTTGAGGGTTAGTTGCATGTAAATGGGTGGTTTTAACCCAACTTTAGGTCAAATATGGTCAAACCCAAAAGTTGGGTAAAAAATCTAATTAAAAATTTAACCCAATGGCTATTGGCCATATGTGACCCAAAGTTGGGTTAAAACAACCCAGCATTTTTAGAGTGCAACATTTTTTCTTGTCAAACCAACTTAAATAATTTATGTGGTTCTGATAACATAATATTTTGAGTTTCTGATGATTAAATCGATCTCCTTCATTGTATTAACTAATTTTTTCCATTTCAATGAACTTAAAATTTTAAGGCAACCAGGTTACTTCATTTTTTAAGTTAAACCAACAATATATATATATTTTTTTTTTTACAGTGTATTGACGGAGTGTGTAGCTTTTCACTTCTTAAACAACCTTAGGAAGACACATCATGGATTTTCCAGGATGACAACCTCAAGATTCATCAGGATCATTTGAGAGAGGAGCATGAAGAATCAGTTTCACACATGAATCGGCTCCTCTGAGTACAGATCTTAAACTTATTGAAAGTGTTTGGGATGTGCTGGAGGAGACTTTACAGAGTGCTGGACTCTCGCATTGACAATACAAGATCTTGATAAAAAATTGATGCACTTCCTTGTGATGGAAATAACATCTCTACATGTTTTTCCATTAAGAGTTTTGGTCAAGACTATGCAAGAGCCTAGCACTCTGTAATGTCTCCTCCAGCACATCCATGTATCCTGAACAGTTTGATCCTGATGAACCTTGACTTTGTCTTCCTGGAATATGGCCATGATGGTTTCCTACATGGTTTTATGAGAAATGAAAAGCTACATACTTTTACAATAAGGGTTAGAAGTACTGCCAAACATATACCATGCTAGAAACATAACAATCACTGCAATAATGATCCAATCATAGACTCTTAAGCATTTGCCAATTTAAATCCAAACCGTGGCAGTGTTTGTTAGTTTTTTATGGCCGTGGCAGTGGATTTCACAATATTACTGTAGTTTTGATCAAATAAATGCAACCTTGGTGAACATAAGAGACTTCTATCAAACATTATGTTGTTCTCTGTCTAGATGTCCTGAATGAACATCTCCACAAAAAATTGACAGGATGATCCTCAACAAATAAATGAATCCACTCACCCTGTTCTGAACAAATATAATCCTGTTGGGCAGCGATTTAGTGTCCAAATCCAGAGGTCTCAGACTCAGCGTGTTAAACACAAAAAAACAGGTGTGTTAGACAGACAGGTGAATGTTGTTCCTAGATCAAATAGGACAGTCAGAGTCCACATGGATCCACATGGCAGTGTGCGATTATACATCTTAATGATAACTCTTTTTGTTATGGGAAATTGGCAGGGGTGTCTTCTGATTGGTTCAGGATGATGAGGGTATGTAGAGATGCTGATGTTGTGTTTACTGTCCAGTGTTCACATTCTGTCAACAATGTTATAATTTCTCATGACATGTAAACACACTCAAATGAACAATGACCTTGACTAAGACAGTAATAGATCCTCATAATTCACCACTAGAGGGAGCAGCTGCACCAAGTAGTGCTTTGGAGGCTGAAATGAGTTGCTTTTATCCTCCTTATTTGTCACCAGTGCAGAAGTCAGCTGTTTTCTGTGAATGTGCGAGACTTCCGCTTCATTCGCCGCTGTAGAGAACGGGAATAATAACAAAGTGCAGAAAACGCTAAAACTATCTGTGCTACAAACCAGTCTGTTCATGATTGCGATGATAATTTCAATTAATATGATAATTAATAGCCTAGGCTGTTTTTTATTGAAACATTTTCAAAGAAAATTATGGGCTGTTTTTGTAGCCTACCGCTAGAATAACTTGAACCACGTGACACCGGAGTTTCCACGTCGCTCACGTTAAAAATAAGGTGGATAGTCAGTGACTGTTTTGGACAATATTTCTGGTTGCAGCGCATTGTTGTCTTTTTCTATTGTCATTTATTAACCATAAATTTACATTTGATCCAAAGCACCAGTTGTAGATCATCTTTAGTGCCACATGACTTTTGTAATAGTCTAATCAAGGTCACTTCTCCCTGATGACGACCCACAGGTTTTGCATTATGAGGACACCACAGTCCAGGCTCTGTTCTCAAACCCAGTGAGCTGCCTTGCTGTATATACTGCCTACATAGAGAGCGAACTTCTAAGGAAGCATCATAACTCAAATTTAACCTCATAAGTGAGTGATTTAGAACATTATATAGGCACTATAGTAACTATTGTCTTCACGCAAATAGCTAGCATATTGCTAAGGTAATAATGCAATACCCTCATAATCATAAAAATACAGTTTGCAATTAAATTTGGTAAAATAGTGATTTTAAACTAGCAAATGTTGGGTTGCACTTTATTTTACAGTGTGCACTTATGTGTACCTTGAAAGAAGAACATAATGTGTAATATGGTAACTACATGGGTTAAGGTTAGGTTTAGGGGTAGGTTCAGGGTTAGTACCTAGTTATTACACAGTTATTGCAATTAATAAGTGATAATATGATTTTAAAGAGAGCTTTAAAATAAAGTGCTAATTTTGAATTAAACTGTTTTATTTTTGAATTAAATGAAACATTAATCATTTATTTGGGTGGTGTTTTTTTTTTTACCCCTTTCTTTCTTCAATGAGCTCACCACAGTGCATTCTGGGATTGCATGCTCCTAGATAGTTCTGATCAGTTTCCTGGTTCTGTTGTAGCATTACTATACTAATACCAGCAGCTCTTGTGTTACTCAATCGCTCTGGGTGTGTCTACACACAGAGACGCTAGAAACAATAGCCGTCTTACGTTTCACTGTGGCTTTCTATTTATGTAAAACCACAGGGCATAAAGATCTCGAACGCACTGAGCTGAACTAAATCACCAAATTCAGCACCTGCCTGTAACTCAGACCCCGTGCCTTTTTGAGAAAACACTTCCTCCGAAGCTGAAGAGATGAACAGATTTCTTCTAAGAACTATTACTGTGCAAATACACAAAGGAAACCGTACACTACCATTACCTGTAAATACGGAAAGATATGAGGAAGAAAAGCAAATATGTTATCCTAAAAGATGTTTCACATGTTTATTGATTCAAATCATTGAATTGTGCTTTGATTTTTACAAAAATATCTGAATATTAAACACTTTTCCTAGTTTATATTTTAGACAGCTTTGAAGTAATGCCTCAAGTGACACACTTTACAACGTCCTGAGGTATGATCAATCATATAAAACAACAATCTGTATCTCAGTCACAGTTCTCAAAAATGCTCCTTACAAAGTAAAAAATGCAAAAATTAGTTGAAATGACATTCAAATAGTCAAAAACAGCATAGATTGAATCAGGGAACAAATTTAATGTGCAAGCAACTTTTTTTTTTTACATTTAAAACCCTTTGGGTTATTTTAAGGTGACGTAGTTACACGTTGTACTTACTATAGTAATAACAGGCAAGTAACTGACCCTAAACCAAATCCTAACTCTATAGTAAGTACAAGTTCATTAATATTACTCGGTGCTTATTTGAGCAAGTACAATGCAACCACGTTACCTAAAACCTTTGGTTTGACGTCTATCCTTTCTGTTTCTCCTTTGCTCTTAGATATTTAAAAAAGCCAAACTTAAAGAATTCCCAAGAATGAAACTTGCAAAAATGAAATGTATTACTAAATTTGTTACATTTAAAACCATTTACAATTTTATTCTTTAAAAAAAAAAAAATCTTTGTTTAGAAGTCCAAGCTTTCCATCTCTCTCTAACACACACAAACATACAAAAACACAAATAGACAAGCCTGTGGGTTCAGAGATAAGCCACCGCGCTGCGGGCGGACGGGTGTCGGGACGGTTGTATGAACGACTGCTGTTTGGTCGGTTGGTACGACGGCTGAACGAACGACTGCTGTCGGGACGGTTGATACGACGTCTGAATGAATGACGGTGGTCCTGACGGATGACTGTAGTCGGACCGGGCTTGCGGATGGAAGGCCATGGGTTGTGGCTGATAGGCCACATAGGGTGCGTTCCTGGAGTACCTGTACCTTGGGTCCGGGCCCTTGTCCAACGGGCCGCTACAGCAAGTGAATATACAACCACCGACGAACAGGAAGGCCGACGACACCCAACCGATGTACAAAGCCTCCCCAAGTTCCCTACGCTGGGCATCGAGGAGCAAGGGGTTGTAGAAATCCTGTATGATGGCGTGTGCGGTCCATGAGATGGGAACGAGGCAGCAGAAGCATCCCACTAGGATCATGCAACCGGAGATGATCAGAACCATACGCTTGGCACGGTCGTTGTCTTGAATGCATGCCGTGCACCTCATCCCGATAATGGAGATTAGTAAACCCAAACCGGTCAATGCAACGGAGCAGCACATGAGCCCCCGTGCGGCCTGGAGGTCCGGAGACAGCGCCAGCAGGGAGTCGTACACTTTACACTGCATCCGAATGTTGGCCTGCCGGTAGCAGTTCATCCACAAGCCCTCGTAACGGGTCTCCATCACGATGATGTTCTCCCCGATGAACGCCGTCACGCGCCACATCGGCATCCCGGTGCTGGCCGCCGCCCCAATAAGCCCGATTAGGGTCACGCACAGTCCCACAATCTCCAGTGCGCCGTTCGCCATGACTCCAGAGCGTGCCACAGGTCAGCACGAACAGGTTTCGACTGTGAGGATTTGCATCCTGCTGGAATGGGAGCTCTCAGGTGTCCACCTGTTCCCAGTCTCCGCCCTCTTGCTCAAGGGAGGGAGGGAACGCTGAGGCGGGTTGCTATGAAATCAAATCCCCATGTGAGTGTTTGTATTTGGTTTTGTGTCACTCGGGGGGGAGGAGGAGCACGTAGCCGTGTTGATGTGTGCTCAGCAGGCTATGTTTTCCTGTTGAGGAAACACAGGGATCACTGAACCGCCAGATACAAGCCAACACGGCTGTCAATGTTTAACGCCGTTGGTGTTGTGGCTCATTAAATTGCTGTCTGAAATGTTTAAAAACATCAGCTGATGGTTTAACGCCGATGTTTTGCTTTTAGTGAAAGGTGAAGCGTGTCATTTTTGCGAAATTTCATTATTTTTACACTTCCATTTAATGCTGAGTGGTGTTTGACAGGTTTCTAGGGTGTTCTGGGGGAACCAATAAAAACAGCCACATCAGAACCACTCTACACTTTAGCAGCTGCATAGCAACACCCTAGCACACCTAGCTTGTTACTATGTGGTTGCTCGGGTGTTGCTATGTAGCTGCTAAGGCGTTCTGAATTCTTATTAGAATGTTGCTATGTGGTTGCTTGGGTGTTGCTATGCACATGCTAAAGAGGTTCTAAGTGTTTTTTAGAATGTTATGTGGTTGCTTGGGTGTTGCTATGCACATGCTAAAGAGGTTCTGAGTGTTTTTTAGAATGTTATGTGGTTGCTTGGGTGTTGCTATGCAGCTGTTAAAAGAGTTCTGCATGTTTTTTAGACATTTAGAACCTTGGTGGTTGGTGGCGTGGATATTACTTGGTGGTTGTGTGGGTGTTGCTATGCAGCGGCCAGCGGCTAAGGAGTTCTGAGCATTTTTTAGAATGTTACTACTGTGTGTGGTTGTTGGGGTGTTGCTATGCAGCTGGTAAAAAGGTTCTTAGTGTTTTTTAGAATGTTACTGTGTGGTTGATCGGTGTTGCTATGCAGCTGCTAAAGAAGTTCTAGGTTTTTTTAAGAAAGTTACTATGTGGTTGCTTGGGTGTTGCTATGCAGATGCTAAAGAGGTTCTGAGTGTTTTTTAGAATGTTACTATGTGGTTGATTGGGTGTTGCTATGCAGCTACTAAGGGGGTCTGGGTGGCTTTAAGAATATTACTTGGTGGTTGTGTGGGTGTTGCTATGCAGCAGCTAAGGGGTGTTCTGGGCATTTTTTTTTAGAATGTTACTACTGTATGTGGTTGCTCGGGTGTTGCTATGCAGCTGCTAAAGAGGTTCTGAGTGTTTTTTAGAATGTTACTGTGTGGTTGCTCGGGTGTTGCTATGCAGCTGCTAAAGAAGTTCTAGTTTTTTTTTAAGAATATTACTGTGTGGTTGCTTGGGTGTTGCTATGCAGCTGCTAAAGAGGTTTTGAGTGTGGTTTTTTGTTTTGTTTTTAGAATGTTACTGTGTGGTTGGTCAGGTGTTGCTATGCAGGGTGGTTTTTTCGGGAAACTTACAATGGAATTGCTTTAGTTTTCTGAGGCAACAACCAAGCCCAAGCAACTATCTGCTAAGGTCCTCTAAATTTGATCACGTTAATATGATATTTAGGGACTCAAAAGCTGCATAATTACTGCTCAGAACACTTGAGCAACGGCATAGCAACACCCTAGCAACCTTTGTATGGTCGAGCGTCTTTGCAATTCCATTTGATAATGAGTATTTTTTTCCAAAGTGTTCTGAGTGGGTTTAGCATGTTTTTATGGGGTTGAAATGTTTTTAGCGGAAAATCAACATACCAAAAACAATCAGAACACATTAACAAGAATTTTTGTAATTCCATTTGACTTTTAACCTGTTGCTATGCCTGTTTTCTGTGCATGTTACTAATTCACGATACTAAAACACCTTAGCAGCTTCATAGCAACACCCTAGCAAACTTTATAGGGTCAAGCACTGCTCACATTTTCTTCAGACAATGTGAAAAAAAGAGTTTCTGTTCCTACAATACGGCTGACGTAAGCTTGCTTGACCATAAACTTCTGGTACTAAGTTCATTTCCATCAGCAAGTCCAGATGAGAGTTTTGATCATACTATTGTTTTGATGCAACTGTTTCTCCAATAACATCTTAGATCACCTGCACATCTTTATTTGTCACACAAACACAAAGTCATTGTCACTCATGTCTGCTGGTAAATTTGCATTAGGGGTGTGACATTTTGAGGTTGTGGAACATTTCCTCTGACAACACAAGAGAAACAAACATTGGAAAACCACCTGAACTGGTTCGACCAGCATTGCCAAAACTAAGCTGAAAAAACAGCAAAATCATGCCGCCAGATCCAGGAAAGGAATGTTTTGAGACTAAAGACCAGAAACCAGTACATCCACAGTTCTTTTTACACATTTATTTTTAATACGATTAAAGTCAAACCAGTGCTGTGAAAAAAAAAAAAAAGGTCTACATTAAAATCGGTTAAATGCTATGTGGAAATATCCCACGTTTCTGTTTTTAAATTTAGCACATTCCATCCTATTTTTGTACAAATGTAAATTACGAACATCATTTTATAATACAGGCAAGAAGGAAATGCATCAAGCATCACATATACAGTCATATATTATCAACAAATAGGCTCCTGTTTTCTTCTGAATGTCCATTCCCATCTCAAGTTATTTCTACACTGGAGTCTCTATGGGAGATTTTAGTGTTAAAGTGCCACACTCACTGTGTGTGTTTTAATATCTTGGCTGGTTATAGACTGAGGGTGGAACAGAAGAATAGGCTGGTTGATATGCGGGTTGTCCGTACGGGTATCCATATCCGGGCCTGTAGGAGTAGTTATACGGGACCGATCCGGCACGATACATCACAGCATTCATGTCCACTTTGTCTTGTGTGCGAGGTGCATGTCGACACAGCAGAATCACCCCGGCGCAGAAGAGCAACGCAGAAGTGATCCATCCGATATAAAGGGCCTCCCCGAGCTCTCTGCGTTGGGCGTCGAGCAACAAAGGGTTGTAGAAGTCTTGGATGATCGCGTGAGCCGTCCACGACACGGGGATGATGGTGGTCAAGCAGCCCGCCAGGAACAAACACCCTCCACTCACCAGAACGATGTGCTTGGTCTTGGGACGGGAGTCCACCAGACGGGTACAGCGCATTCCTACGGATGACACGATGCAGGCGAAGGCGGACAAAGCTACGGAGGCGCACATGAGGCCCCTGGCCGCCTGGAGATCGGCCGGCAGGAACAGCAAAGAATCGTAGACCTTGCATTGCATACGGATGTTGGCTTGCCGGTAGCAGTTCATCCACAAGCCCTCCCAACGCGTCTCCATCACAATGATGTTCTCCTGGATGAACGCCGTCACCTTCCACATCGGGAGGCCCGTAACGGCGGCGACGCCGATCAATCCGAAAAACCCGATGACCAGCGCCACCACCTCACAGCACATGGACTCCCGTCTCTTCCTCTTCTCGACCTTGAGCTGCTCCTGGTATATCTCCTCTGCAGACTTCTCAGCAGGATAGCCCGTGTACATACTGCCCCCATAGGTTTTGTCCGGGTGGGCTTTGTCCGCGTAGGACTTGGCCATGTAAGTCCCGGTCGTGTAAGACATGATGGTCGAGAAGACGCAGAACACAGCTCTCCTTCACTGTGGTGTTTCTCAAATGAGACCGGAAGATCCAGATGACACGTATTTACAGCCAAGAAAAAATGTTAATGATTGTATGCGATCAGACTGGTTCTTCTGCTCCTAAAACATCTGATAATCACCTCGAAGGAAACTGGTGATACTTGAAATGCTCAAACAAGTGACTTCTGCCAATAGGTGGCTCCTACAGTAAATATGAGTATTATATTCAGAATGCAAACACAAAATAGCTTGTTGGAGTACATACGATTTATTTAAAATCTAATTTAAATGGTCACTTTCAAGGTAATATTCAAGTTATAAAATACATAATAATAATAAATAAAAATATATAAATATAAAACAATTTTAAAGCTCAAGTTATCAAAATACAGTGAATTACTATTTCTAAAAATACAGTAATCAACATTTGAACTTTTTGAACAATACTAGGACAACTTTGATGAACTTTTGAGATCCACTTCAAATGTTGACTACTATAATATAAAATTAATACAGTATAAATACAAATACATATATGAATAAATTTGTGAATGACAATGACTATTTTGACATTTTATAACTTGGGTATATGCAATATAATTGCTCATATAACAATAATAATAATAGTTTACTATTATTTTTTAATATAAATATAAACAATTCCTAAATAAAAATAATTCAATAAAATAAATAAATAATTATTATCCAGGCTGGGCAATCAAATAAAAAATGTATTGAGCAATGGAGGTGTAAGAAAAACATTAAAGATAACCACATTCAATTTAAAAATTACAGACAAAACTATAAATAAAATTAACATGCATATATTTTATTGCTCTTTCATAGTTCTGCAGGAGACTCGAATTGTATTTATTATTTATATCTTATTAAAGTTTTAACTGTCTCATATGTTTTTCTTAAGACTCCTTAGAAAATAGAGTCAATATTTTACATCAATTAAAAGCGGCTCAGATCATTGAATGTTTCATCTTTGGAAGAATTTGATGAGAAATGTTTCAGTTCATATGGAGATCTCGGACTTATTTTCTTAAAAGGTTCCTAAACTTAAATTTCCCATGATTCCCCTGAGCTTCAGCTGCTGTATGTCAGTGAGAGGTCAGGTGTGTTACAGCACTTCCAAGTAAGAAATGCAGATAGTGGAGGGTGGAACCTGAGACGGCTAGTGTCACACACACACACACACACACACACACACACACACACACACACACACACACTTCTGTAGATATCTAATCCATCTAACATGAGTCCAGCAGCAGCGTATAGCTTACATTTAGTTTCACTTACAGTAAATAAATGCATGTGGGTGTTGCTCAATATCTAGGCATGTCAGATGCGAATCTCACGCAGACGGCACGCCAGTATTTTTCAGCATGTTATTTCTCATCCTGTCTACTTTGTATATCCCAAATGTATTTAACGAATGCAATTGTTTTTAGTCAAAAGCCCAACATGGCAAAATCTAAGAATTATGCATCAAAACTATAGGCAATTAAAAACTAAGATCTATTTAAAGGGATAGTTGACTTTGAAATTAATTTTTGGTATGTTTTAGCTTACCTCAAGGGCATCCAAGAGGTGTCTTTGTTTCCACAGTATTTTCAATTTTGACATTTTTAGGTCGAACTGTTCTTGTCTGTCAGTCATATAATGGAGGTCTATGGTCACCACCTCAAAGAGCATGCACAGAGAAGTCCAAATTAAACATGATTTAATGACTCTTAAATTTAATGTCTCGTAATGGCGCTTGCGCAGACCGAAGTGCCCGCGTCCTCAGATCACTTGGACGTGGCTGTGATTACAAGAGGTAAAAATGATATAAATACTGTTTGTTTTCTCACACAAACCGCTCGTTTCGTGTCTTAGGCCATCAATGTGTACTTACATTTATGAGTCATTAAATCATGTTTAATTTGGACTTCTCTGTGCATGCTCTTCGAGGTGGTGACCATAGACCTCCATTATATGACTGACAGACAAGAACGGTTTGACCTAAAAATATCAAAATTGAAAATACTGCGGAAACAAAGACATCTACATCTTGGATGCCCTTGAGGTAAGCTAAAACATATCAAACATGTATTTCAAAGTCAACTATCCCTTTAATATCTCAATTATTTCTCATGCACATTAAGGACTTTTGCTGAAATCTTCAGCTTCGCAGATGTTTCTCCTGAGGAAAAGACTCTGCAATCAAAAGTCAAGGATTTTAATATGAACTCAAGCATTTCTCAAATGATCCGAGCGGCTCGTAATTCAGTTACAGCTCTCTCTCTACCGTGTTTTGTTGTCTTATTTGTTTCCACTTTTATTCCTCCAATAGAACTGTGAAAAACATCTGAGACAAAGTTCTGAGAAATGAACATTTTCTCTGAAAAAAACACAACTTTATTGTTTAAATGATCCTTTAATATCACTTCATTTTAACTAGCACATTTAATATTACAATAAAATCTTACAATAAAAAATACAATTATTATCATATTTATTGGAGCAGTATTTATATTGTATAAATATATACTGTAAATGTATACAGTGTTTATATTGTATAAATGTAAGTATACATATTAGATAATAAATAATATGTATAATAAAATAAAAGTTTTTTTGTGCAATTAATGCATTTGAATAATTATCTAGTTTAGTCTTATTCATAATTGAACAATTCAGATATAAAAGTTTAAAAGTTTCTGGGTAAATCTTATAATCAAATTATTATTTTATTTTATTTTTTTTATTTTTGTTGCAAATAATGTATTTTAGATGATTACCATGACAGAATGTTTAGTCTCATTTTTTCTCAGTTTTTCCTTACAAGTACAGAACTACAATAAATGAATTCAACCCAAAATATATTAAAAATATAATATATGATCATATCATATTACATATAGACTGAATGCATTTAGTTTAATCTAATTATCCAGAATTCAACACAGAGACTTTACAAGATTCATATCAGACCAAAAGCTCGAAAAGTAAAAAAACAACTAAAAAGACGCACATAAATGAATGAATGAATCACTAGTCTCTGTCAGACGTACTGAGTCTTCCAGTTAGAGTTGGAAGAGGGAGTCCGCCCCAACATGCTCATTTCCACCGGGACATACGGCCCGTCCTCCTCGTCCTTCCTCTGTCGAGGGGCGTAACGGCACAGCAGGATCACCCCCGCCACCAAGAGGACCAGGAACGTGGCGAAGCCCACGTACAGCGCCTGTCCGATCTCGCGCTTCTGCGACTCCAACACCATGGGGTTATAAAAGTCTCGTATGATGGAATGAGTGGACCAGCAGACGGGAATGAGAGCGGCGAGGCCGGACGCGACGAAAAGACACCCGCCCACCAGCAGGATCACGTTCTTGCCCCTGCTGTGGTCCTGAAGGCAGTCTGTGCTCCTCATCCCGCAGACGGACACCAGGACGGCGAGGACGGCGAGCGTGATGGACACACACATGAGCCCGCGGGCCGCCTGGATGTCTCCCGGCAGGATGAGCAGAGAGTCGTAGATCTTGCACTGCATCCGGATGTCCGCCTGCCGAATGCACGCCATCCACAAGCCCTCCCACAGCGCCTCCATGACGATGAGGTTGGGCCCGATAAACGCCGTGACCTTCCACATGGGGAGCGCGGTCGTCGCGATGGTCCCGATCAGACCGACGGTGCCCAGCACCAGGGCCAGGATCTCCAGCTTAGCCCTCATGACTACAGCTTCGCTCGCGAGCACAAGTGATGTGAAACGCCAGCGTTTCAACAAATGTATTGGGGATATCTGACAGGAATGATGTAGGAGGGCTTGTGTGCATCCGTGCTATGCGGTCACGCTGGTTTCTGTTAGCTGATGACAAACGGACTTGTCTGTGAGTTCATGCATCGGTTGCAACAGCAGGAACTGCTCTAATGTACACTACAGTGACGGCTCCATAGTGAGGTCAAATAAAATACTGTAAATAAATAAAAAACAGCAAGACTTGAATTAAAAGAGAAATTTTGAGGCCAAAAGACTGAAATAGTATTTTCGTTTTTAGAGTAAAATGTACTCAGCACTGATTTAAAACTATTTAAAATGAGATAAATCAAGATTAAAGAATTATTTCAACGCAAAAAGCGATGCGTTTTTGTAAGAAAAACATCCATATTAAAGGAGTAGTTCACTTTTGCTGATAATTTACTCACCCCCATGTCAGCCAAGGTGTCCACGTCTTTCTTTCTTCAGTCGAAAAGAAATTAAGGTTTTTGATGAAAACATTCCAGGATTTTTCTCCATATAATGGACTTCAATGGGAACCAAACAGTTCAAGGTCAAAAAGACAGTTTCAGTGCAGCTTCAAAGCGCTTTAAACGATTCCAGACGATGAATAAGGGTCTTATCAAGCGAAACGATCGCTCATTTAACATAAATAACAAAGTTTAAGTTTTATAAGCTCAAATGGTCGCCTTGCTCTGTTTTGTGATGCGCGTTTGTGACTCTCCTGTTCGAATTCGTTTATAAAAATGAACAAATCTTTTCCCGAGTCAACTCGTTCATTTTGTTCGATGAATGAACCAAATGACACGAAAAAAGATTTGTTCATTTTGATGAATTCGAACAAGAGAGTTTAAAGGGATACTCCACTTTTTTTTGGAAATAGGCTCATTTTACCACTCCCCCAGAGTTTAACAATTGAGTTTCACCGTTTTCAAATCCATTCAGACGATTTTCTGATTTTTAGAAGAATATCAGTAACCAGACAGTTTCTGGTCTCATTGACTCCCATAGTAGGAAAAAAAAATACTATGGAAGTCAATGAGACCAGAAACTGTCCGGTTACTGATATTACTCTAAATAACAGAAAATCGTCTGAATGGATTTGAAAACGGTAAAACTGTTTAACTCTGGGGGAGTGGTAAAATGAGCCAATTTCCAAAAAAAGTGGAGGACCCCTTAAAATCGTTAAACTCTGAAAATAGATTAAAGAAATTGTTTAAAGCTCTTAATAATAGGGAGATACTTATTTAAGACAGTAAAACTACAGCTGCTGGCAACCCACAATTAACATTCATCAAGTGCACCTATGGGAGAAAACTGACTTTGGCGAGTAAATAAAACTGTTATTGCTCATTTTGTAAGGACAGAACAAAAAAATTGTATAAATAAGTATAAATTGCATTGTAAGAACAATAATCTGAATCTTGGTGTTCTAAGTGACATGAACAAATCAAATCAATGACAGTTGTTAAACTTTTACCTCAATTTACAATGAGATGTTATGGATGCATATACAGTTTTCAAATCTCCCATGCATTAAACCATGAAAATATGTGGAACAAAACATTTTTGTGACGTGCAGTGATGCTTGATGCTGCTTGCCACCATTATGATAGAAAAAAGGCAACACCATAATCTCATACAAGGAAGAACAACATACTTATAATATAAATAATGCAAAATACTAAATTCTAAATGCTTTGTAAGAACATGTTCATGGCTCTGAAGTGTTCTTGGCTTATCCTCTACTGGCAGGTATCAGTGTTCATTTTATACATTGTTTTATGACTATTAATCTGTTTGTTTTGTCATTTAAAGTGAATGTATTTTTTAGAAATGAACATAGGATCTCATGTTGGGCACATTTACAGGAGCTCACAGAGAGCAGAAGCTCATCTCACCTGAGCTAAAATGTCACCAGTCTTCAAATAAAACACTGTGAATTAAAATCAGTAAGAGGTTCATTGAAGAGTCAACAGAAACTTTCAAACCTGTCCGACGGGTCGGGCTGCTGTGACTTCATCTGTGACTGAGTTTCATATATCAACTCAGACGTCCAACCTCAGAGAACAAGAGTGACATTTAACAACATATTATGACTTATGTAAATATATTCTGTCAATATCACACTTTTCCTTTTAGACAGCACTGTAGACAAGATGTTTCACTTCTGTATAAATAGAGAAAACCACTATACATGCTCAGAAAATATGGGACATTTAATTACACTTTTGTAGAAAAAAATGTTATTATAGTTGATAAAGTTATAAATGTGGATTTTTTTTTGCGCCATCTTTGTGCGCCATCTAGCGCATCTGTGTAAAACTGCACGTTCAACATAAAATATACAAACTTGCACAGCATCCAATTAATAAATAATAATCAAATAAAGGTATTATTTTATAAATTGTACTCATACCACGGTAAAACGTATAAATAATTACTCTTTTCACGTAAATGCCACAGTCATTTACTAGGTAAAATTATGGAACCAGCAGATGACAGTGAATGATTAGCAAGAATGCTAACGTTATCATTCACTACGTCGTATTACCATCTCGTTCCGTCATTTTACCACAGTAGCACCACAGTACAGGCTTTTAAAGAGCTGTGTAGGTTAATTAGCCTAAATGTTAAGTTCTTTTAGTACAAAACTCCATTAACTTGATAAACCTACCTTGTTTTTCTCACTTTTCTCTTATGAAGTCAAGTCGACCACAGAATCCTTGACTTGAGTCAGGTTAAAGGTCAAAGGATTAATTGTTCATCTTCTCCACATCTTTGTCAAAACTGTAACAGCCAATAGATATAAATACAAAAAAGAATTACTTTCAACAATAAAACATAGTAAACTTACGTAAGGTAAACGTAAGGAATTAACAAACTTACCGAAACCTTAAAGTTTGAAGTTTCAGATGAAATGGCTTCGAGCTCGACATGAGGCATAACATTTCTATGCATTAACACTACTATAAAACTAACGTATCCTGGCCTACTATGTAAACATATGGTACTACCTTAATTCGACCACTGGGAGGCAGATTGCTTTTTTTTTTATCTAAATGGTTACAAAAAATATGTACAAAATATATCAATAAACACTATACATCTCTATATAAATACATACATTTACAAATATATAACTTATTATAAATAATACATATTATAAATAATATAACAATTATGAGAAAAAAAATAATTGATGAAACGGCAAAAAAAAAACTTTGTACAAAAAATGTCAATATCATTGTTTAGAAAAGATAATTATAAAATTATATAAAAAATAAACAGCAAACAATGAGTGACAATTTCTTAAAAACCCTGACGTGACTTTTAAGAAAAACCCGCTTGTTCGGGAGGTTAAAATCTACGTTCATTACTAGTCTGATCTGAAGCCCACATGAAGCAAAAAAATAAAAGATTCTTAGTAAAGTAAATATTCATGAATTAATTTCTATGATGATGATGCGTGTGTGGTCTGATGATGTCACTCGGGCCTGAGGAGAGGAACTATATCAGCTCTTACATCTTACCTATATCTGAGCGCTGAGAGATTGATTGCTTCCCTCATCCTATATTTCACTCCTGACTCCAGAGTTTCCGCTAAAAACACCGAGCCTGAAGCGATCCTGGCACTTCCATCTGTCATCGAAGCCAAGCAGTGCCTCACACTTGAAATTCCAACCGTGGTGATTGACTTTAATGCATAAAGGGCAAGATCACACACGCAGGTCAAAACATGAGTGCTTCATATCAACACTGGTGGAAATGTGCCTGGAAATGAAGAAGCATCCACGAATCACAGGGATCGGCTTTGGATATGTACGAAACCAGTTTATTTGATATAATATCAATCCACAGCTCTATGTACAAAATAAAAATGCAATCTCTATAGCACAACGGGAATGTTTTCAATTAGAATTCATTATTATCATCTAAAATATTTTTCCAGTGGCTTTTCTCGATTGCATTCAGCAAATTTTGGAACTTTTAAAACACGAAACCAAAAGTTGCTCGTTTAACTGCAGCTAAAACAGAACTAAATAAATGAAAAGGTCAATTAAAAAATAAACGACACTGTACTGTACACATTTTGTGTGTGTAAAGGCTCAGGTCGTCTTCCATAATGTGAGTTTCGATTAATGTGTCAGTAATGCAGGGCTGAACCACAACAAACCATATCAACGTGAACAGAACAGTCCATCAGCTAAAAAATCATATTGCATTTATCAACAGAATTCAAGTAAAACAGGACATAGTGACCAAGAATGAGCTGTAAAAAAATCATAAAAATATCCGTTCAGCATTATTTTGACCTGAGATCAATCAATATTCAATATTCAACACAATTACTCAATGAATATTCAACTGGCGTGTGTTTTTCAGGTCAGAATAGTGCGCAGTGTTGTACATTTCGGAAAAATTGAAAAGAAATAAACGCAAATATATACAAATCCAAAGGAGAAAAAGGGCAAACAAACAAAAATCCATCATATTTTATCCGGCTGTTGTTTCGTCTTACATCTGAAGGACATAATAAATAAATCACAGCCCTTATTTTAGAAATAAACAATGAAAATGTTTGGCAGACGTTGGCGGCTGCCAACGTTGAATGTGCAATTCTAAATCTATTGATTGTACTACCAAATTCCCCGCGGTTTCTGATTGGCCACAGCGCACACGTAGAGCTCATCTAATGTGTGTAAGTGTCTATGGTGGAGAAGCATCATATCTTACAGCTATTTCGACAGGAATGTCTAACATTCGGGAATATTAGTGAGGAGAAACCGTCGTCATGCATCGGCCGAGCTTTCGTTGACTCAGCTCTGTGTCTCGTTCTCTGCGCTGCTGTCCCGTCGCACCCAGATGACCTCATCAGGCAGCGCCTGCTCATCCACACTGGCCACTGACATGGCGCACTGCTTCCCTACATGAGAGAGCTTGGCATGGTGGGATTTGTAGTCCTTCTTGTTCTCCGCTTCCTCGTCCTCTTCCTCCTCTGTGTCTCCCTCCAGCGAGAGGGCAGAGAGCGGCCCCTCCAGGTCCGGCTCGGTGGACGGGCTCAGGGCGGACTGGGAGAAGTCGTCGTCGTCGCTAAGGATGTCCGTTTCCTTCACGTCGTGTTCCTGCTCCTCGTAGCGCTGGAGGTCGAACTGTTCCTCCACCCAGCGGTCGGTGTCGCCCGCCGGGATGACGCTCTGCTCCTGAGCATGCTGGGAGTCCGGCGAGTCGCTGTCCGGCTCGGTGTCGAAGACGATGTCCGTGTCGATGGTGAAGCGGTTTCGCACCAGTTTCCTCCGGCCCAGAGTGCGAGTGGGAGCAGAAACTGAAAAGATGCAAAACATTGAGCATTACTCGCATATCTGCAAAGAGCTTACACCTTTTATTGTCATTTTGTTCATTTGTTTGAGCTAAACTACCTTTAGGCAACTAGTGTTCACTTTTAAAAAAAACATTTGCTGATAATTTACTCTTCCCCATGTCATCCAAGATGTCCACGTCTTTCTTTCTTCAGTCGAAAAGAAATTAAGGTTTTTGATGAAAACATTCCAGGATTTACTCCATATAATGGACTTCAATGGGGTCCAAACGGTTCAAGGTCCAAATGAGAGTTTCAGTGCAGCTTCAAAGGGCTTTAAACGACACCAGACGATGAATAACGGTCTTATCTAGGACCCTTCGAGTCATGACTCGAAAAAAAGATTCGTTCATTTTGATGAACGAGTTTGAACAGGAGAGTCACGAACGTGCATCACAGACAAGTATTTGTGCTTATAAAACTTAAACTTTTTTATTCATTTTTGAAATGAGCGATCGTTTCGCTTGATAAGACCCTTATTCATCGTCTGGTGTCGTTTAAAGACCTTTGAAGCTGCACTGAATCTCATTTGGACCTTGAACCGTTTGGTTCCCATTGAAGTCCATTATATGGCGGAAATCCAGGAATGTTTTCATCAAAAACCTTAATTTATTTTCGACTGAAGAAAGAAAGACATGAAAATCTTGGATGACATGGTGGTGAGTAAATTATCAGGTTTTTTTTAAAAGTAACCACATGAACCCATTGAAAAATAAGTATTTTATGCTTACCAAGGCATTTATTTGATTCAAATACAATAAAAACAGTAATATTGAGAAATATTTTTACATCATTAGTGTCACATGATCATAGGCAGTCTTCAGTGAACTGTTCATTTCGTTAACGAAATCTATGACAAAAAATGTTTTCCGTCGATAACCTTTATTCCATGACAAAGACGAGACCAACGTCATTAAATGATGACTGTGACTTTATCAACGTTAACAAAAATGACCAGACTAAAATATAAATATGTTTTTGTTGAATGAAAGCAGAGACAAAACTGTTTTTAACAAGCCGCAACAAGCTTATCATGCTTACGGTTGCTCACTCAGTAGGGAGGGTAGAGGGGGATTAGATAAGGTTTAAAATTGTTCAATTTTATGCATATTCTTGTGTGTGTAGGAGTGTTGTGGTGTGTGGGTAAAGTTGAGATGTGTGAGTGAGAGAATGAAGGTATTTATGTTGTGTTTCTGGTGCATATGTATGTTGGTGGTGAATATGTATATGTTTGTTAATATGAAAGCAAATACAAAATAAAAAAAATAAAAAATTGTTCACAAAAAAAAAAAAGCCGCAACAAGCTTATCATGCTTACGGTTGCCAGATTTCAAGAAATTAAATCCTCCAATCAGAGCTTTTCTGTTAAAGAAAACATGTTTTCTACCCTGAAAACACAGATGAACAAGAAAGCTGCAGTTTAGAGATTTCCATTTGAGATTTTCTGCTTGAATGAAAGTATCATTCAGTCGGTCTGTGCGCTCTGTCATGAACCGCTTACGCCGTTTGTGATCAAACCTTCTCAGTGATGAACTCCAAACATGAATCTCTCGATTGCTAAATCAATTAACTTACGCAACCTCTATGCGACAATACAAAGTCTTTTTTGCTGTTGTTTTAATAGAAAAACATTACTGTAATTTGGAATTATTGGAGTTTTTTTTTTTACCAGTATATAATAAATAGCCTATAATAATTCTGAAAACAAGATGAGGTCAAATAAACCGGTAACACTTTACAATAAGGTTCATTTATTAAACATTAGTTAATGTATTAACTAACATGAACAATACATTTGTTACTGTTTTTGTTAATCTTTGTTAATACAAATCCAGCTGTTCATTGTTTGTTCATGTTAGTTCACAGTCCATTAACCAATGTTAACAAGATTTTAATAAAGTATTAGTAAATGTTGAAATTAACAAAGACTAACAAATGCTGTAGAAGTATTGTTCGTTCTTAGTTAATGTTAACTAATGCAGTTAACTAATGAACCTTATTGTAAAGTGTTACCAATAAACCATATGCATATATGTTGACATTCTCTTGATTTGTGCTTATAGGTGTAAGTGCAATAATTCTAATGAAATGTAAAAATACATTTCTATTTATTATAGTTGATTATAATTTAAATATAATTTTAAATTCAACCATTATACAACTTTCACTGACTATAACTAGACTAAAATGCTCAGACATTTGACTTGAAGAATCAATTAAAAACAGTTGACAAAATTAACACTACAGTACTTCAGTGTCACATGATCCTTCAGAAATCATTCTAATATGCTGATTTGCTGCTCAAGAAACATTTCTGATGATTATCAATGTTGAAACCAGTGGCCTTAAGTCAGTGTTTAGCCTCCGCTGTGTGTGTGTGTGTGTACCTGCTCTGTTCATGGCGGGTCGGGCTCCTTTAAGAGCGCACAGGCGTTTTCCTCCAAAGGGAACATACTGCTGATTTGGAGGAAGACTCTCTGTCTTCAACAGCTGACGGCGCTGTTTATCTCTCAGGATGGAGTGAACCATCTTCAAGAAGTCTTTCTTACTCTCTGAAGAGCTGCAGACACCAGTTAACACACATTGATATCACATC